GAGACTGTGAGTTCTAGTCCCACGTTAGGAATGAAAGCCAGCTGGGTAACTTTGGGCCAATCACCAGGAGACTGGGAGTTCTAGTCCTGTCTTAGGCATGAAAGGGGGCTGGGTGACCCTGGGTCAATCACCAGGAGAAAGAGACTTATAGTCCCACCTTAGCCAAATAAGTTGGCTGGGCGTCTTTCAGCCAACCACTTAGAGATATGAGTTCTAGTCCTGTCTTAGGCATGAAAACCAGTTGGGTGACCCTGGGCCCATCACCAGGAGACTGTGAATTCTAGTCCCACGTTAGGAATAAAAGCAGCCAGTTAACCACCACCCAAATCCCCCTAAGACCACGGACGGCGTCATATCCAGATAAACTCTGTCGTTACCTTGGCGCAAGCATCCCGCGCGTAGTTGGCTTCATCGCAACCGTGGCCTTTTTGGATCACCTCCCCACCACCCGTTGCCACCGTCCGATACAGGAGGGTGTTCAGGAGACTCTCCGGCTCAGTGGAAGTCAACTCCGCAAGGTAGGAGACCAGTTGTGGGTCTTCGATGGCCACCTCGTCACCAGAGTAGATGAAATTCACATTGCCCTGGGAGTTCAGCAGACGAAAAGATCCATCAGACATCAAATACAGCTAGTCCTCGACTTGCAACAGTTCGCTGAGGGACCGTTCGAAGTTCCAACGGCACTGGAAAAAGGGACTTAGGACTGTTTTTCACACTTATGACCGTTGCGGCATCCCCCAGGTCAGGTGATTTACGCTCACTTGCTTGACAACTGACTCGCATTAATGGCAGTTGCAGCGTTCCAGGGTTATGTGATCCCCTTCTGACAAGCAAAATCAATGGGGAAGCCAGGTTCACTTAACAACCATGTTACTAATTGAGCCAGTTCAGTTAACCCATGTTCGGTAAGCATTGGGTTAGCTCAATTAGACAGGAAAGGGTGAGGAAGAAACTCAAGATTGTCTCGTCTTAATTTTCTTCCGTATAAAAGGAGATGGGAAGTATCTCTTTCAGTTTTCAAGATCACGCTATCAAACCCTAATATATCAGAAAGTAATGGTCTAGTCCAGGGGTGTCAAATTCAAGGCCCCCCAAGCCGGATCTCGTCCACTGAGGGCTTAGCTCTGGCCCACCGGGACATCCTGGAAACAGTGAAGGACCGGCCCACGGTGGCCCTTGCGAGCTCCGTTTTCGCTAGCAGAAGGTTGCAGAAGGCCTTCCCAGCCGAAAAGAGGGCTCGGGAACCCCGTTTCCGCTGGCAGACCACTCAGGCCACCATTACAGGCACCCCCGACACAAATGATGTCAAGAGGGCCATGCCCACCCTGGACATGCCCACAGTCCCCCCCCCCAAGGTCAACCCCAAGGGTGGGTTGCTACCGGTTCACACTGGTTCAAGTGAACCGGTTGTTAATTTTATGGACAGTTCGACGGTTCACACTGGTTCAAGTGAACCGGTTGTTAATTTTATGGACAGTTTGGTGAACTGGCAAATCCCACCCCTGGTTGGCCCCGCCCACCTCTCCTCTCCTCTCCCAGGAGTCCCCGCGCAGCCCATTTTGGATCTCAGGTAAGTGCAGGGCCTGAAAGGAGGATGTTCCGGAAGGCCAGCCTCCAGGGCACGGGGAGAGCAAATACCTCCCCCTCCCAATGGCCTGCGTTCGCTCTCAGGGTGGTGCAGGAGGCCAACTGGGCCACACCTACCAGGGCCATGCCTGCCCAGCAACCGGGCAGAGAACCGGTTGTTAAATTATTTGACCAGCCTATTCCTGGTCAAACCCAACCCTGATGCATCCCTCAAAGAAATCAAGTTTGACACCCCTGTTCTAGCTGTTCCCCTGATGTTGGTTTCCTGACCCCGGCCCACCTCGAAGGGAGGGCCAGTAAAAACGTCAAAACCACGTCGTTTACCAAGTGTAAAATGGCTGCCAGGATCTTCTGCACAGAATCGATCTCTTCCGAAGTAAAACCGATCACTTTCATGGCGTCCAAGACAGATTGATAGTTGCTTTTCTCACTCTCCAAAGACTTGGGAGAGGGCAAGAAGGTTCAAGGCCAGAGAACAACCAAAGGGATAAAAATAGGAACAAGAATTAATCGGGAGGCCTTGGCTACTCACCATAGTCCTCGGTGTCAACTCATAAAATATTTCTAGGGTCTTTTTAGAGTTGCCAAGAGCAAGGGGGGGGGGGGAAGGAGTTTGAAAGAGCAGTGTGGCTGTTTGGAAACCGCAAGTGCATTCCATACATAGTTTTTCAAAGAAGACAACGGTAGGAGGGTTAGATCTTCCCTCCCCTTTAGCAGCCGAATCGTCATCTTCTGAACCCAGCTCCCGGCGCTTCCCCGTGCAGGCAGTCCTCGAACCTATGACCCCAATGGTGCCCCCCCGATTCCTGTGGCTAAGACGTTCATTCCAGGAGGTCTGTCCTATTTTATGACATCTCCTGCCCCATTTATTCAGGCAACACCTGCTGTTATTCAACGAGTCCCCCTCGTTGTTAGGCGAGTTGTGTGTGACTACCACGACCGTCGTAAATACGAGTCTGTGGTCTCCCATGAGGGGAGCCGAATGTCAACCCATAAAATATTTCTATGGTCTTTTTAGAGTTGCCAACAGAAAGGGGTGGTGGTGAAAGAGCAGTGCGGCAGCTTGGAAATCAAAAGTGCATTCCATAAATAGTTTTTCAGATAGTAACTAGGTGACCGAAGTTTCTGCCGCACAAATATCTAACTGGAGAGCATGATTGATGACTCTGGGCAATGAAGATGTCCCATTGGAGAATATGAATTACGATACACCCAGAGGGGTGAGGGGAAAACCAGGGTCGAGGGTGACAATGAATGATGTGCCTCAGAGTCTGCTACACCCAGGCAGTGCCGGCATGTTAACTCCCAATAAATCCTTTGGAAGTTTTGGAAGTTTGGCTCGAGACTCAGGATTGAAATGGAGGGTAACTACCGGAATCCTGACACTCGGCTTACTTACGACCACAATTGAACCTGAAATTTCTGTGGGTGAACAAGACAGAGGTTAATTGAATCCTGCCCCATTAATAACCTTTTTTTTCCTGCCGTTATTAAGCGAATCCTTGCAATTGTTAAGCTAGGAACACGGTTGTTAAGTGTGAATGCAGCTTCCCCTGTTGAATTTGCTCATCAGAAGGTCATGACAACGTGACTCCCGGGACACTATGACCGTCATAAATGTGAAGCGATTGCCAAGCTGCTGCATTTGGATCGCAGGACCATGGGAAGGCTGCAAGCGGTTGGTAAGAGTGTAAAATGGTCACGGGTCGGTTTTCTCAGTGCCCATTCTCAAATGGTCGCTAAATGAAGCATTGTAAGTTGAGGACTTCATGGATTCGTGCTCGAAAAATCCCGAATGCTTATTCTGTTTTACTGAATGCCTTTTTTGTTTATAAGGCAGTCCTCAGCTTACGACCATAATCGAACGCCGGTTAAGGTTCGTAAGTCACAGCAGGCATTAAGTGGGCAGGAAAGATCGTAAAGTGAAGCAAAACTCACTTAAGGAATGTCTTACTTAGCAACGATATTTCAGGGTTCAACTGCGGTCATAAATCGAGGGCTACCTGTAGAGTAGTCCTCAATTAACGACCACAATCGAGCCCAAAATTTCTGTGGCTCAGCGAGACGTTTGTTAAGTGAGTTTTACCCTATTTTATGAATCTTTTTTGCCCCCGTTGTGAAGTGAATCACTATGGTTATTAAGCGAATCACGTGGTCATTAAGTGAATTGGGCTTCTCCCATTGAGTTTGCTTGTCAGAAGGTCGCAAAAGCGGATCAGGTGACCCCCCCAGGACACAGAGACTGTCGTAAGTATGGGTTTCCAAGAGTCTCAATTTGGATTAGGTGACCACAGAGATGCTGCAATGGTCGTAAGTGTGAAAAACGGTCATAATTCATATTTCTAATGCCATTGTAACTTTGAAATGGTCCCTAGATGAACCATTGTAAATCAAGGACTAGCTGCCCCGGTACAAATATTAACACATACAAACACAACTTCAGAGATTTCTGCAGATTAACTGAGAGGCATTTAGAGCCAATCCTCGACTTACAACCATTCGTTTAGGGACCGTTTCAAAGTTACAATGGCATTGAAAAAAAGCAAGTTATGGCCGTTTTCGGGATCAAACTTTAGACCCTTGACAACTGGCTCGTGATACTAATTTCACAGGAAAGTCATAAAACGGGGCAAAACTCACTTAACAACAGATATTTTGAGCTCAATTGTGGTCATAAGTTAAGGATAGCTGTCTGTGGCCTGGGTTCATATTTCAGGGGGTCCTGGATTTATGACCGGGATGAAGCTTGTCCAGGGATGGGATTCAAATTTCTTAACAACCAGTTCTGTGAGTATGGCCTAATTTATGGGTGTGGCTTGGTGGGCATGTGACTAGGTGGGCGTGGCTTGCTGACTGGGTGTGGCTTGGTGGTCATGTGACTGGCTGGGTGTGGCTTGTATGTAAATATTGTAACTATTTATGTAAATATTGAATTTTTTATGAAAAAAAGAGCAACTTATACCCAAAATCAGGCCAGGCA